ATGTTGTGGGTTTACCTTCAGGACTTACCGCCTAGGTCCGCGTTCTAAGTAAGAATGTGTATGTCATTGTGACCTAGTAATATTTCAGGCTGCCATGAATACATTGAATCATGACTGGGTTACCCTTTATTGCATCATGAGCATCCACCTGCACCCCCAAATGTAGTACAAACTATGTCGTGCCTTTGCGGGAAGTTATTTTCTTCCTGACCATTTGTGGCAAGTGGCACGCCCTTCCTCATGTGCACCTTTACCTCATCGCCATCTAGCTCATCCCACCACCTTTTTTTTTTTTTTTTAACCATCCCACCACCTTGAAAGCCCAGTAGATAGTTCAATCATTTTATGGAAGGGGAAGACTGACTGCCACGACCTGGGTGGGAAAAGTACCGCTGAGGGAACTGGCAATCGACCCGTGTGCATGGTGATGGTGAGGGGGCAGAGTTTCGGGGGCCAATCCACAGGGACTTGATCTGTCGAATCTCTCGGTAAAAGAGTCATATAGCTTAGCAGAAAGGAAGCCTAGGAACCCAACAGGAGTGGCGGTGGGCAGATGGAGTGCAATCATGATGGCAGACCTGCAAGGCAAAGAAAGCAAAATTTTGAAGCTATGGAATAATCTCCTTGATATCCCATATTTGAAACAAGGTAGCATTTTGTGGATGCTATCCCTGCTGGTCACCCCTTGTGTGGTCTGGCCTTGCAACAGGGGTATAAAGGTCTCCATAGAATACAATCGCTGCACCTGGCCATTTGAATCCACGAAGCACCTGCGGTGGGACTGCCCAACCTTAAGGAGAGTATGGCGGTGGTCGGAAGAGCACTGGAATAGGATGGGAGGGCATGATGTGAAGTGGGATGCCATTGAGTAGTGGGTGCTTCTGGATTTTGTATGGGAAAAACGAACAGGGAAAAAAGGTTGGCCCTATGTGGCAAGGGCGGTTATTTGCTCAGTGATCTGGGTAGATCGCAACCAGTCTAGATCCGAGAACAGACCATTTTTTGATGTGAAGTTCAAAACAATAATAAAGAGAAGCATGCGAAGGACCATATGGGCAGATTGAAGAAGAAAGACCAAAGGGGAAAAAGGTTCGAGGAAGCAACTGTGGTGGTTTTTAAGAACATGGGCGAAAGGAAACCAATTGGCAGGAGTTCATTCCACAAGTGGTCTGGTGGTGGCGAAGTGGCTGAGTAGTTATAGTATATAGTGAGAGAGGTAGTTATGATCTTAAGGTGGCTAGAATAGTAACTTAGAGACTTTCCATTTTTTTTTTTTTCTGCCTCATTTCCGGAGTAGTCGTTTGGAGAGTTGAAGGGGGGCAGCTGGTAGGGGGACCAGGGATCTCGGTCAGTAAGGAGGAGGCTAGAGAGTGCCACAAGATAAATCACGGAACTCGTTTGGCAGGGGTGCAATAGCCCGATAGGAGAGTGGCATAGAGTAAGAAACTGGTGTTCCATCGGGTTGGATAAATCCGGTTGTCGGATTAGACGGTAGGGTATAGTCTACATTCTGCAATTCAAATATGATGGTGATACTTGGTTTAGATGAAATGTTATATTAGAGGTATTCAACATTCATGATATCTATGAACTTTATTTGGGATAGGGAGGAAGACACTCCCCGAACTACCGTATTCACCCGAATATAACGCCTGGTCATTGTAGCTGTATTTGACACAACTTTCCACCCAGATACGACGATAATTACCGGATATTCTATCCGGGTGAAGATGGTAGGTTGGTCTCCCGAAGATGCGCAGTGGCAGGTGGCTGACAATGAGAGAACGCCAATAACGAGGTGGTGCCCGAATTTTTCCAAGACCGCGTGGCGCTAGGCAGTCGATATCAGGAGGACAACGGTGCAGTGTGAGTAGAGGGGTTGATCTTCTTATGTTGTGCTTCTGGTCGAAGAAAAGGAACATTGTGAGGGTGAGTAAGTGGAGAAGTGCAAGGGTATGGGGGTTAGGTTTGTTGTGGGTGGACATCATTGCTAACGACGATACCCCTTCATATTTTTGGACCACTTGCGAGGGGCGGTTGGCATGTTCAGTAGTTAGTCTCGCGACGTGGTTTGGACTGCTGTGATGGTGATCCGAGCGACGGTCTGTTTATCTTCATCGTCCGACCCTTTTGAGGTGGTTGAATAGTGCAGTCGACCATGGGTGGCCGGGTGCTTGAAAGTCGATGGAGGACGAGGAGGTGAGGTTTGAAAAGGAGACGGGTGTGTCGATGGTTTGATTTAGGATGAGGTGTTCCTTCTCTTGTGTCTGTCTTGGTTTGCTGGGATAACATTACTAAAAGTTAGTACACTCATAATGATCCCTAAAAATTAATTGAAGGGAATTTTAACGTTCTTAATTCCCAGATTGCTTGATATTTATTAAAAACTCATAATTCGTTTTGTATGTCCGATTTTGGTGATAACCAGTTAATAAGTTTGATACCCAAAGTTGATTGTCTGATTGTCTGATTGCTTGATTACGTTTGCCTGATTTTAATTTGGAAATTGTGTTTCCCGACTTTCATTACATTGTAATTAATTGATCATGAGTCATCTTCTTCCGAGTAATATTCTTAGTATGAAGTTCGTAAATCAAAGTTTGCTCTGATCTCAAGGGACGATTACCGAGATTGATTTGAAATTAGTTTTTTAACTTCGAGCGAAATTCTATGCTTAAGAAATTTTCAATAATTTTTCATATTAAGCCTTTTGCTGTTGATTTTTTCTGATTTGATGGACAAGAAGCCGAAACTTTAGTTGTTGGCGTTTCGGTTTGAAATTCTAAATTCTTGAAGTACTATATTAATAACTTAGATTTTCTGGTTGGGGGCTTGACCTTTTAAGGGCCGGGCTGATTTTGGGGTCGAATCAGTCATGGTAGTTGGGGGAGGGGGTCAAGGGGTTCGAGAGGATTGATTTTGAGATCTCTAGTTTTGCGGGGGCATGTGTTTGATGTGGTAAGGAAATTGCAAGTCCCAGAGGGAGCTAAAGTGACCTTGAGGTGGGGGGGGGAAGGGTAAAGAGGGAAGAGGAAAATTTTGGTGGGTAACCACAACCGGTACATGAAGATTATCACGGCGGTAGTTATTCACAACTTCACTTGGTATACGATACAGATTCACAAACGTTGACCAAAATTTGGGAGTTTTGTTTTGTGGAGCATATTACCTTGGAGAAGAAGCCGGACTGATTTTGGGGTCGGATCAATCATCGCAAGTTGGGGAGGGGGTCAAGGGGTTTCAGAGGATTGATTTGGGGATCTCTAGTTCTGCGGGGGCATGTGCTTAATGTGGTAAGGAAATTGTAAGTCCAGAGGGAGCTGGAGTGACCTGGAGGGAAGGGTAATTAGGGTAGAGAAAGGACAACTGTAGTTCTGTGGGGGCATGTGCGTGATATGGTAAGGAAATTGTAAGTCCCTGAGGGAGATGGAGTGAACCGGGGGAAGAGGTAATTAGGGTGGGGAAGGAGGGAGGGGGAACCTAGTTCCGCGGGGGCATGTGCATGATATGGTAAGGAAATTGTAAATTCATGAGGGAGCTGGAGTGACCCAGGGGAAGGAGCAATTCTGGGGTGCACCAGGATTGGGGAGCTTTGTTTTGTAGACCGTATTACCTTGGAGAGGAAGCCGAGCTGATTTTGGGGCGATCAGTTATGGCAGTTGGGGGAGGGGTTCAAGGGGTTTCAAAGGATTGATTTGGGGATCTCTAGTTTTGCGGGGGCATGTGCTTGATGCGGTAAAGAAATTATAAGTCCCAGAGGGAGCTGGAGTGACCTGGAGGGAAGAGTAATTAGGGTAGAGAAGGGGGAGCTGTAGCTCTGCGGGGGCATGTGCGTGATGTGGTAAGAAAATTGTAAGTCCCTGAGGGAGCTGGAGTGAACCGGGGGAAGCGGTAATTAGGGTGGGGAAGGAGGGAGGGGGAACCCAGTTCTGCGGGGGCATGTGCATGATGTGGTAAAGAAATTGTAAGTCCCAGAGGGAGCTGGAGTAACGCAGGGGAAGGAGCAATTATGGGGTGCTTGGGTGTTCCAAAAAACGATGTCGGTTAAAAATCGGTGAGTGGGAGAAGTAGATGGTGGGATATCAAGCGTCCTACTAGTGAGGGGGCTAACTCGTAGGATGGAAATAGGGTACAGCAGCAGCGGAGATGGTGCCTCTGCTGCAGTAAGTCTTGCCGGAGTGAGGTAAAGAGGATTGATGGGGGGTTTCTGAGTCATTTTCTGAATTTTGCCTATGCTCTTGTTCTTTAGCCATACTTCCAAACCATCTGTACATTTTTCATATGGGACGCTGGGCCCGGTTCCCAGCACGTGCTGTTGCTCCCCACGAATAGATTGGAGCTTCCATTAAAAAAAAAAAAAAAGATTTGGGATCATCATTGGGCATTGGGTTCGGCCATGGCCATACACTAAACTGGCTGATGCTGCCAGGATAACCCCGGGTAGAACTGTGGGGACCCTGGCCCTAATTTAGATTTGCAATATAAGAGTAAGAAAGAGAACTGTGGGGACTCCGTCATGCCTTTCTTTTTTGCGCAGAAATGCCTCTTCCTTTTCGAGCTGTTGGGGCCTATTCTCAGCAGATTCCAGGTCAATATTTTCCGTTCTGTTCACTCCTCGCCGTCACCGTACCTTCGCTCCGGAGCCGAAAAGCAGTGGAGGGCGAGCGGTGGAAAAAGCGTTGCCGTCTATTTGTTGTAGGGTCCCCCGTAAAACATCGGGAGCCACAGGTCTCTACCTGCGGCCTTCCCTACCCCGTCCCGCGGGTGGTGATGCCGTGCAGGGCAGTAACCCTCTGGGCGTTCGTGGATGGGAAAGAGCAACAGTTCATTTTCGCTTTCTACCTCTCTCCTTCGGTGTTCTGACTTGGAAACCGGACCAGTGGTTATTGGAATAGCCCCCCTACCACCACAGTTGGCACAGCTCCTCTTGGTAACAGACGAGTGCTTTTGGTGGGGGTAGAATGTATTCCCCTGATCTTGCGTTAGCGCAACCCGAGACGACGGGGAGGAGCCAAGCTGATGTGTGAGAGGGGGTTTCGGGTTGCTCCTAGTGGGTGAAAACTGGGTCCTCTGGGGTTGGTTCATGCGGCGGGGATTACTTTTGTCTGCAGCGGGCGCGGTGGAAGCGGGAGCGGGGCGTGCTGGAAACCTTAGGGCACACCAAGCGATGGAGAACGTTTCCTGGAGCGAGGCAGAGAAGTCGACGAAACGATCTTAGGGTGGGTAGTCGTTTCTCTCTCTGTGCCCAATCGTCTGACTCCCTTTTTCTCTTTCGTACTCTCCCTTTTTCTCTTTCGTTCTCTCACGTGTAACTGCTCTCATTCTTTGCCGTCACCGTACGCAACTTCTTCTGCCTGGGTCCTAAGGAAGCTGCGGACTATCATTCGCGCGATACTATCGCTTACAATAGTGCGAGTCACCCAGCGTGCGGACGCGTTGCGCCCCCCACTCGTCGCCAAACCGTTGTATGCACACAAAACTCGCTTGCACGCCTCCACTTGCGCGCGAAAAGGAAGAGAGAGAGAGAGAGAGAGAGAGAGAGAGAGAGAGAGAGAGAGAGAGNGAGAGAGAGAGAGAGAGAGAGAGAGAGAGAGAGAGAGAGAGAGAGAGAGGTTGCTCAGGTTGGTCCGCGTGTGGTTTGGCGTGAAGAGGGCTTGTTCTCCTTCGGCTTTGCTCTGGCTCGTTAGGAAGGTAGGTCGTTGTTGATATGTTGCTGTCTGCTTTGCGGTGATGCCCGAGGGCAATCGTATCCGAGGTTCTCGTGTCGGCTAACTCCATTATCACCTCTGTGATGTTTGCGTGCTTTTGTTTTCAGGGAAGGAGAGGAAACGCAGGGAGTGTCTGCGAATAGGAGACAGGAAGGGAGGCGGCGGAGCCTGCCTGCTCGCTCTCTCCTTCGCTCTCCTCCCGCCCGCCAAACCAGTCCCCACCCGCCCGCTCCCACGCGGGCACGGTCGCCACCGAGATAGGAAACTCCTCCTAGGAGACTGGAAGTAAGTTAACGGGGAGAAGTGTAAGTCGAGCGTGCAGCTGAAGAAGAGATGGCGTCGGGTGGTTTTCCTCATGGCAAATCGCCCCGCTCCACGTGGGCGTTTTTCCTGTCGCTCTCCGTCTGCGTTTGCCTGTCTTCCCTCCTCCCGCACTGTTTGGGCGAGATCCATAGGGTGAAGATTGAAAACGATAATCGGGCATTCATTCAGTTCGAGTCCTTCGGCTTCGACGGCACCGGCGGATTGAACTTGACGGTGAGGAGGGCCAAGATCTTTGGCAACAAAAACGTTATGCCTCCAAAGAGCCAGATGGCATTCGCGTTGCTTAAGGCTGATTCCCCGGCGATTACGAGGGAGAGGATGAGAGAAACGCCTACCGACTGTCCGTTGGTTAGCGAGGAGTTCGAGATTGTTGCACCTTTCGCCGACATCTTGAAGCTGGCAGGTGCCAAGGGGAAAGGCAACCACACTTTCAAAATTTTTCACCCCGTCCCTCAACCGAAGGAGTACACTCTCGTCTTCGTGAATTGTTTTAGTCCTCGCCAAGCCGTTAGCATGAACGTGAGAATCGAATTGTTCAACAAGGAGGGTACGGTTCCCGACTTTCTTCCTGCTGGCAAGACGCAACTGCCTAAGCTGTACTTCAGCTTCTTCGCGCTGTTTGTACTCGCGGGCGTTGCGTGGGTGTACGTCTGTTATCGTCATAAGGAGACGACTCACCGAGTGCACATCTTGATGGGGGTTCTCGTCTCTCTGAAAGCCATCACCTTGTTGGCCTTGGCGGCGGAGTATACGCTTGTGAAACAGACGGGCACGCCTCATGGGTGGAATGTGGCCTATTACATCTTCAGCTTCCTCCGAGGAGTGATGCTTTTCACGGTCATTCTCCTCATTGGTACGGGATGGTCTTTCCTGAAGCCGTTCCTGCAAGATAGGGATAAGAAGGTGATTCTCATTGTCATTCCTCTTCAAGTATTTGCCAATATCGCGGCGACGATCGTGGAGGAGTACACACCTGCGGCAAAGGGCTGGTTCACTTGGCGTGACATCTTTCACCTCATCGACATCATCTGCTGCTGCACAATTCTCTTGCCCATCGTTTGGTCCATCAAGCACCTGAGAGAGGCTTCGAGGACGGACGGCAAGGCGGCACGGAATATGATCAAGCTCTCTCTCTTCAGGCAGTTCTATGTCATGGTCGTCAGTTATATTTACTTCACTCGCATCGTCGTCTACCTGCTCAGGAATACTGTTAGCTATCATTACACCTGGGTGTCCGACCTTGCTGACAACGCTGCCACGTTGATCTTCTACATTCTCACTGGCTATATCTTCCGACCTGTCGAACGCAATCCCTACTTCGTTCTAGATGATGAGGAGGAGGAAGCAGCTGTCCAAATGGCTCTCAAGGACGACGAATTCGACCTGTGACTTCGCGCAAAATCTGGCACGAGAAATGAAAGGTGAGGAAATGACCTAATTAGCTGGCTAGGCGAGAGTTGGCGGAACTCACTGTGCGTGCTTGCGCTGGTGTTGCTCTGTGCGTGTCTGCTCTGTGTGTGTGTGTGTGTTGTGTGTGTGTGATGTGTGTGTGTGTGCGTGTGTGTGTGTGTGTGTGTGTGAGGGAGGAGGAAGGGTGAAGGGTGAGTCGAATGAAATGAAGAGGGGCAGGCGTTTGAAAAGAGGGAGCTAGGCATTGAAAGAGGGGGCGAAAGAGTCTGAAGGGAAATGAGAGGGATGGCCAGGCAGCGAAAAAAAAGAGGGGGTAGAATCGTCGGAGCCTCCTCTATCCTTTGCCTTGTCCTTTTAAGTATGAATGATGACGGCTTGGCCCTAGGTCGGTCTCTTCACGTTTCTTCGTCCCCATGGCTGCCCTTCCTGCAATCTTTTGATTTGTTGAGAGAGAAAGGGGTTATTTTGTGTTGGTAGAACAAGAGCAGAGCGGTGGGGAGGTATGTTCTGTGCGAAGTTGCCAGATGCGCAGGAAGGGGTACGGAAGCGGTACCGTTGAGGTGCACACGGGAGGCCATGGGCGAGAGCGAAGCCGGTTGTTTTGCTTTGCCGTTTGATTGCATTGCACGGTTGGTGATAGTCGACCGGCGAATGTGAATCATGTTGGAGAGGAGGAGACGGAGGGAGCGAGCGCGGGTGGGAGAGAGGGAGGGAGAGAGGGAGGGACGGGTATTTCTATGTCAGTGAGAGTGGCGAGCGGTTGATGATGGCTGTATGATAGATAGGAAAACTATGATGAAGGGGGATGAAACCATAACCAATATGGCGCACAGCCAACTTGCATGGTGTTGCTTGAGGTAGGGCGTTTCTTTTTTTTTTTCCCTTCTTTTTGGTTAATTTTTGGACAAGTGTGAGAGGAATTAGGCAGGCAGGTGTTTTTGAAAGGCAGATTGTGGGGTGGTTAACGCTTGTGCCTCTAGCGTGGGGCAGAATAATAAAGAGTTGTGGTCGGCTTTTATTGAATTGGTCGGTAACTGACTGGTTGGGTCTGTGTGAGATGTGTCATCTTCCGGAGGAGGAGGTGCTTTCCTCGACGTTCCTCTCTTTGTCCGAGAACCTGGAGATTCTGTAAGGACTTAACTGAGCCCAGATTGCGTGGTGCACCTTGGGGGGGGGAGGGGGGGAGAAGCAGTGGAAGAGGAGCTGAAACCTTTTGTGGTGATATGCCTACGCCTCTCTTCGGCGGAACATGCCTATTGCTGTGATGATGCCACGTGTATGGTTGCGCTTATAGATTCGCTTCAGGAGCGGCCGCGGTTCTTGGCTCTCCTTTCTTGTGCGCTTGTAATCGCTGTTGTACAAAATCATTATCTATTTTAGGAAAAGGGGAGTTCTAAAGATTCGGGCTGTGGGTGACGGCAACTGGCCCCGCTCTAGCGAGATGATGGTGTGGAGTGCTCCAGAGAGGGAGGGGAGAGAGGGAGGTATCGGTTTATTGTTAACCACAGTAAATGCGTAGCAGCACGACCTGGCACGCGAATCACAAGGTGTTTGGATTAAGGCGTGAGAGGGGTGTGGAGTCGGAAATTTTGAGAAGGGAAGAGATTTGTAAGTCTTGACGCGTACTACTCTTATTTCAGCGTAAATGGAGGATGGAGGGAGGCAGGAGGAGGAGGATCGGGGGACATAGGCGGAATTTTGGGCTCGGTCTGTGACCCAATTGCGCGATTTCACAGCAATTTGTGTAAGTTTATTTGAATGATGTCGGAAAGAGCACCTTTAGAAGGCATAAGCTCACGTATTGCGCTCAGGTTGACAGGGTGTGCTTCCCAAGCGTCAGCGTCGGATGAGAGGAGTGAGAGGAGGAGGAGGAGGAGGAGGAGGAGGAAGAGGAAGAGGAGGAAGAGGAGGAGAGATATGCCAGATGTGTTCAGGAAGAACTTGAGCGAAGCTGGCTGGTTAAGTATATAGCTGGTGAGGACAGCGTTGATGGGTTTGTCGTTGGTGACAGGCAAAAAGAGCGATAACGAGCCTGGATGATGTTTTAACAGTGGTGTTTGCATTGTCCGACTATCTTTCCTCGGCAAGGAGAGAAGAAAGGGGAGGAGGTTATTGATTTACATACGTTGCCTGGATGCTGCAGGTCGAAAGGGCGACAAGAGAGGAAGCAGTGTTTTGCAAATATCTGCCGGTTGAGCAGTTGTTCCTTTTCGTTTTTTTGATTGCAACTTCTTTTTTTGGCCCTCTTTTTTTCTTATGACTGTTTCCCTATGTCGTCTCGATAATGCTTCTCTCGGTACGCTGTTCGTCTGCACATATATCTCGTGTACTCTTTTACAAAACGTTGTGAAATCCTCTCTGTGCTATGTGGTGGTGCCTTCCTGCGCTGCATTTTACGGGGAAGTGTAATACAGCTGTAGTAGGATGTTAGCGATGGCTATGATGGCCTTCATCGAAAATGAAAAGTCGTAGCACCAACCTTCACTTCTGTAAGAGGGGCATGATGGCCGTCACGTCGAGCAGGCATGTGTGTGTAAGGTAGGGTTGGTTTTAGGTTCGGAAGCGCGCCAAGCCGGTTACTAGTGGGGCATCGTCCCATTCCTTTTGAAATAGCAGGCGATGTCGAGGCCCTTATGATCTCTCCCTCTCTCCGGTCCCTCTCGCAAAGACTGTACAGGATGTCTGGGTGTATATATCTATATGTATGTGTTGTCATATAATAAGTATATCTATATCTATAAATTGTCGCAGAGCGTGTTCGTACAAATATCTCTGGTCTTACAGATGTATACATTTATGTACATATATATGACGAGTCGGTGAAACTCCGTCGAAACAGTTTATTTGTCACAGCCGCTCGTTTGTTGTCCTCTTCTCCCTCTCTGCCTACGGTTTACCGGGCAGAGCTCTGTTTGACGATCCTCGTTTGTTGTCCTCTTCTCTCTCTCTGCCTACGGTTTACCGGGCAGTTCTGTTTGTGACGATATATGTAGACACATAGATGTATATATACATTTTCAGATACCTATGTATAGCTATATGATATACATATCGTGATAGAGAACTGCCCTGTGAACCGTAGGCAGAGAGGGAGAAGAGGAGCAAAAAACGAGGGGCTGTGATAAACTATTTCGTCTGAGTTTCACATGTATGTACATGCACAAATATCCATTCAAGCATTTCTATCGGTGGAAATCTTCACGGTGTAGTTTCTTGTCTTTTTTCTCCCTTTCCGCCTTCTTTTTTCATCAGGGTACCTCTTCTGACTGTGTATTGTACATATGTATTTTTGATATTTGATTTCAAATACGAGCACGCTGCCTATGCTTCTGTTCGTTCTTCTCTCTTTACCATGTAACGGTTCGCATTTTGTCGTTTTCTCCCTCTTTGTTCACTTTTTACTATGGTGGTGCACCGTGGTAAGTTCTAACACCCATGAACTGTTGAAATGCAGACCTAAGTTCGAATCCCCTTCCCCCCTCGAATCCCCTTCTCTCCCCCCCAAGCAAAAAATCGTATTACGTGCATACAGTATATCCGTGGTAAAGTATCGGATATGGGCGCGTGTGCACAGTGAATGTGTTTGTGGTTATTTATAGCTCTTGTACTTGGCCGGCCGATTTGTCGACGACCAACACTGGTATCTCCTTCCCCTTTTATTCAGCTTGTTTTGATTGACTGTCCTCTCTGCTGTTGAAGGGGGGGGGNGGGGGGGGGGGGGGGGGGGGGAAAGAACTTCCTCGTCACTGGTGGGCGTCCTCGTACCTCTTCTCCTTGGCCCTTTCCCTCTTCCCCCGAATAGAACGTGCGGTCGTTGTAGGCTGTATGTGAGACAACTGTCAGTTGCTGCATAATGACCGTGCGTTCTATTCGAGGGGAGAAGATGGTATCTCTCCTCTTCAAGGTCATCTCGTATATCTTTCTGAATCATATGTCGCGTCAGGCTACCCGTCTTCGCTCGAATATAGCGCACCTGCATACTGCTTGCCAGATCAGAAAGATAGCTCGTAAACATTAATGATCAGGGTGCGTAGTGCTAGGGGGAAGGGTTGTGCGGGGGAAGGGGGGTTGTATTTTTGTTTTTGTCTTTTACTAGTTGTTTTTCAAGCATAGGGTGTGACTTTCTTTTCTGCCGATTTCAAATTATTACCTTGCTGTTCCTTTAAAGCTCAAATTGCTATTATTCATTTTATTACCTTCCTGTTTTTGGAAAATTTGTCTGGCGCCCCTGTAATTTCCATTAGTTTGCGTCGCCTCCCCCCGGACAGACCACTTACCCTGTCGTGCCTCTGCCGCCTCTGAACTTTCCTGCATGCCCCTGTCAGCAAGGGGCGCAGCTTTCCCGGTGCCCTTACTGGACGGCCAGTCCCATTTTACCGGTCCCTGCGCGATATGCCCTCTTGAGCGGCATGCATTTTTCCGCCGTGCCCTTGTGTGGGAAATTCGGATTTGAAGCACGTGTTTTTTGTGGCGCTGCCGCGAAAAATGACGGGGTGTGTGTGTTCGTGTGTCGCAAAAAATGACGAGCTGTGTGTGTGTGTGTGTGCGTGTGTGTGTGCGTGTCGCTAAAACTGACGAGGTGTGTGTGTGTGTGTGTGTGTGTGTGTGTGTGTGAGAGAGAGAGAGAGAGAGAGAGAGAATGAAGTGGCTGCCATGTGCGTAGCCATAGAGGTGCGCTGAAAAGATGCACCCTACCGAGAGGGGCATTTGGATTTTTTTGGTGCTGGTACTTGACAGCTATCTGGTAGGGGCATACTGCAAATTTGGAACGGGTACCGGTAGGGGCATAACAAAAATATTTGAGGCCAAACAGACCTGTGTTTTATGGGAAAATTTGAATTGAGGTCAGAGAGGCTCGACGTCGACGTGGGAGGGCCGGGCTGCGATGCAAAATAATGGAAATTACAGGGGCGCCAGACAAATTTTGCCTTCTTTGTGTGCAGTCCTCTGTCTGTTTTATGCTTCTGCAGTTCGTTTTTGTCTCCTTGTCATTCGAAATGGTTGTGCTCTTTCCTGCGTCAGTGGGAAGAAAAGATCTTGAGGGCAGGAACTCAACGGCAGGGCGTTGGGGACGCGATCAGACAAACGTCGGAAGAGAATGAAAACAAGAAGAAAAAGATGTTGAATGAGTGAAAAAAGAGTAGCAGCGACCCTCCACAAGGATGACACACAAATTAAAAGAAAGAAGACAATTAAGAAACAGAACCTGTGAACGAATCACAAAGGAAAGAGAGAACTTGGCTCCAGACCATCGTGGGCCTCGCACCACTACACAATTGGCATGTATTTGGAGGCTTTCTGACCCAGGTGCAGTCGAGTGAGTCCAACATGTTGAAAGTATCTGGTAAAGATAGCGTCCAAATGCATTTAGAGTGTTATGTAGTGGAGCGAGGCCCCATCTGAATGCACAGGTCGTATGCAAACCTTTTGTGTGCGTATCTTCTTGGTATGTACCCTACATTTGTCCGTCCAAATGTTTTATGTAGTGGAGCAAAGTCCCATCTGACTGCACAGGTAGATGTCGTAAGGCCAACCGCTTGTGTGCATATACACTTGTTATGTACTATGTACACTACATTTGTCCATCCGAATATGTACACTACATTTGTCCATCCGAATATGTACACTACATTTGTCCATCCGAATATTTTGAATTGAGAAGAAGTTACAAATGGGTTATCAGTACCACTAACGCCGGTGGGGGCTTCTTTTTTTTTTTTTAACAAACAAAAAAACACGAATGGATCACTTTATGATTATTAGATTCCATCAGACTCGATCCATCCATCCATCCATCCATCCATGCAACTCTATGAAATACAGGATTCATGAATATCAATTGAGCGCAGGACTTGTGTGAACTTGTTGGCAGTGCGAGAATGAGAGGTTGTTCCAACGCACCTATGTGGGTGGTGTCTTTACATCAATGTGCATTTTTGGTTTGTGTCTAGGTCTGGAATCTGAAGTAAGTAGGTTGTGTGTGTGATGCCATCCAATTGCCATCCATCAAACTAGGATGACATTCAGATCGCATGGAACTGTCGGCAGTGGAAGCAAAGAGATGACTGGGACACTATAGAAAGGGGAGTGCCATATCTGCGTGTAGGATCGAGTACTCTCAAACCAGTTCTGCGAGCAAGTTTCTCAAACTAGTTCTGCTAATGAGTTTCACTTGTCTCCAGCCAGCGGTCTGAGAGTTCTGGTTGTGCAACCAGTCCTGAGATTGTTCGTTTTGGAAGTGATGTGGTGCGACCCGATTACCCCAGCTGAGCCCAGCTCTCGGTTACTGGGGCCGGTGAAAAGTTGGGTGGGCCTAACGGACCGAAAAGGCTGGTCCGTGCGTGGTAGGCCCTTGCCTGCGATGGGTTGGAATTCTGACAATTCTAGGTGTGGTCAGAGTCAGGCATATTGCAAGAAAGAGCTTTGGAGGTTCTGGTGGTTTAAACCAGACACTGTTGTTCTAGGCCTTCGATGTCTAGGGCAGTATGCGAAGAGGCCATGGGGCGGTTCCCCCATGGTGTGATACTGGGCTACGGTCTGTGAAAAGCAAAAGAAAACTGAGGGCAGCAATGCAAACCGTCAGATCACGATTGCGTGATTTGCATGGGTGGCCACAATTGTTTGTTGCAGACGGTAGTTTTTCTTGAAAGAGTCGATATTGGTTGTGGTCTTGCCAGTTGTTATGTACTGATTGTTTGTTGATATGGAAGTCGCAAGGAAAGTCTGTGAAAGGTTTCTGACAAACGTCCCTCACACGGCGAGTGTTGTATGCAATTTGTCTGTACTGATTTTGTGTGGGGCTGAGGAAATCAATCCTTGCTCTCGGGCATGCAGTTTCTGTACTGATTTTGTGTGGGGCTGAGGAAATCAATCCTTGCTCTCGGGCACTGAAAAGAGTAGGTTCCCTCTAGTATCATTTGTAGAGGCCATGGCGTACATGTATGCAGGTAGGGAATGGTAATGGTTCTCACAGCAAACATGGCATGTATGTCATGCGTTGTCAACATCGACCTTCTTCTATACTCCTTCTAAAGGCAAACCTGGGCACGGCCCCGTGTAATGGCCCCATGGGAAACTCAGGCTGATGTGGCGCCCAGTGCTGCGGTCGAGGATTCGCTTCTTTGGAGCGCTGTTTTATCGTTTAGAGTGTCTGGTTTTCGGTTGCGTTGGTCGAGAATTTGCTTCTTCGGGGCACTGTTTTGTCGTTTAGAGTTTCTGGCTTTCGGTTGCATAGGGGCATGTTTGAATACAAGTACATAGTGAGGCTAACTGGATGGAAACAATGAGTACCACTGAGCTCGGCTGGAAGGAAACAAACATGTGTTAGTGACGAGACGTCACACTGTCGTGGGGGCCGAAACGTTTGCCACACCGTGCCTACCTACCTTTCAAGACAAACTACCGCCAGGAGCCCGGATCGGGTGGGGAGCTAAGGGGGATGAAACGCCGGGGGGGATGAATTGTTGCCACAGCGCGCCTACCTACGAGTGCGAGTGGAACTCCCCACCTCTTCATCATGATGCACGACATCTCTTCACGCACGACTCTCCATCTCTTTACCCATAACTCTCCATGTCTTCACTCGTAACTCTCCACCTCTTCATGCACAACTCTCCTTGTCTTCATGCACAACACTGCTCTGTTTGTGTGTGTGTGTGTGTTTGAGAGAGAGAGAGAGAGAGA